TCCTAGGAATTCTTAGGAATTCCTAGGAATTTTTTCCTAGGAATTCTTAGGAAATTCCTAGGAATTCCTAGGAATTCTTAAAGTCATCTCACAAGGGTGTGTGTGTGTATGTATGTATGCATATATATGTATATGTATGTATGTATGCATATATATGCATATTCCTGAGATCCTGTTATGACTTTTACCTACCGGTAATTACATTCATTCAGAGGCCTTCAGTGGGGAGCTTGTTACTTCAGAGTAAACACTACTAATTAAGTTAGATTTTTTCTCTCTAGTTTTTGTCACTTATTTGTATTCACCTTATTTGTATTCACATGTCACCCATAGTTCTTTATTTGCCTTTGATTGTTTAATCCTTTTCACTTTGTAATTTAGACCTTTGTTGTATTACGTAACCTCAATCTTAATATTTCTGCTTTGTATATAAGTCTGTGTTTCTGTAAATCGCAACCATTGTAAATAGCTTTCTAGTTTTTAATTTTTAACCTGAAGAACGCTGAACGGCCAAAATGTCGTACTTTAAACTCGTCCAGAACAGTTGAGAGTTGGTCTCTTCGCCACATCGTACACTAAACTATGTATATGTATATGTATATAATATCTATATATGGTGATTTATAACCAAATACAATCAAAGTGGCTATGAGCCACTCAACTTGGAAAATGGATCGACTGTAAACAGTGGTAATTTTGATGCCACTGACTTGAGGTCTTAATCCGTAGGTTAATTTAAAGTTAAAGCCCACTGGCATTGTTAAGAAATGTGCAAAACACAATGGTAAAAGAATGCACGAAGAGATGTGACACTGCTGAAAACATTCATGAAGTTATCAGTCCGAGAGGCCAAGTTATCCTCGTCCAAAAGACCGAGACAATCATAAAGAAAGTACTGCAGCGGCTTCTTGTCGGATCACCAAAGCAAGTAATAATTGTTGTAATAATTTCTTTTCTTGCTTACATAAAATATCCTGCAAATATCCAATTAAATAGACTGAAAAGCCCCAGGATCGACTCTCCACCTCTTCATGTCTAAGGCTACTGTTATTATCTGCTTTACAGCTCTGAGATGTCCTTCAGATGTTTTTTGGGGGGGGCTTCGAACAGTATTCTCTTCTCCCATAATCACTCTAAATTTTCAGTGTGGCATGAGAGTAATACAACCAGTGACGTCACTAGGCTGTTTTGGCTGCACCAAGATGGCCACCAATTTCATTTCAGTAGCACTTTAAGGTTTTGACGACGAAACTTCACCATTTCTAGCTGTCAAAGTATCCTTTAGGGTTCACTTGAAGAAATAATAATTAAAAGAAATGCTCTTATTTTATTTCTGTTTTCAGGCTTGATTTCCACTGATCTCTCGAGTATGTGTCGGGACTACAAGTTCGCGCCAAATCCTTTCTTGAACAGTGGCTAGTAATCGAACCTATTCCGTTTTAAGTGGTAGCTTTTAGTGGTCTAATGAAGCTCAACCAACTCCCACATTGGTCTCCACTAGGGGTCATTTTCAAATTTTCCGACGAGCATCCCTAACCTTCTCATATGGGTTTCCCCCCACCCGGGTTCTAAATGTCTAACAGGAGGTGAAGTAGTGAAGAAGTGAAGGAGTGATGGAGTGATGGAGTGATGGAGTGAAATCGCTTCACCACTACAACTTGGAAAACAATATTTTCCAAGTTAAAAATTATGGAATCAAAATGGCCAGAAGAATACCGATTGAGTAGATCTGGGAATGACTGGAAGTTTTGCACTTTGTTTCCAGGTGGTTTCCCTAACTTGAGTTAGTTGTTATCATTTTGTTATCTAAGTCATTAATCGTATAATAACTGGTCTGCCAAGACTAGCCAAATGTTTCTAGCAGATCAGTCTACAACTGTATAAATTTTTCTAACTTCAAATTAACATAAAGTACATGTGTAATAGCACAATGTAGACACTAATAAAACACAGCAAACAAGTCAAATGGGCAGATCAGAGTAAATTCAGTGCACATAAGTTGTTGTTGCTGTACTTGTTGTTGCTGTAAAAGTGTAGACACATTTATGTACATGTTTGGGCCACTATAATGTCATCTTGGGGGACATCAACAACGGGCCCATTTTGGGGGTCTATGTTTAATTTTGTACTGTCCCAGTATCTTAATTGCACCCCCTATACCTCAATGACATAAAATGCAATACTGGTCAATTATTAATACTCACTGATTTATTTAAGGCACTGCAATTAATATTTAATATCACAGAATAGGGAATGACAGATTCACCTCAAGAGCTGAATTTTCCTGGTGCTGATGAGGGCTACTTTTTCTTTTTCTTTCATTAGATGATGCGTCCTTGTTCAAGACCTGAACGGGAACATTTTTATGTGCTGGTGGTGGTGGTGGTGGTGGAGGAGGAGTCTGCTGTACAGAATTTCCTTGCTCTGACGTTGGGACATTTTCTTGTGCAGCTGAAAAATCAAAATATTTTGCCATCAAAGAGCTAATGAGTAGTTATTCTTATTTCAGGTCAACAACTGCCTTGAAAAGTGAAGGGTGGGTGCCTGAGACATCCAGGAGCTTCCACTATTGGTAGCTAGCTCCTAGATGGAGAGCGCTCCCATAGTTGACAAGTCCTGGCAACCCAACCATGAACCCCCAAGCAGAAGGGAGAAAAACATGCACCAGCTGTCACACTGAAAAAAAAACCCAGTGGAAAGAGAGGGAGGGATAGGGGAGGGAAAGCAGCCTCTGAGAAGAGTCCCTACACTCAAGCAAATGCTAATTAATGCTCAAGAAAAATGCTGATTGATGCAAACTGCTGCAATGCCCTTAGGTCCAAGAACATGTGGAATCCTGGCACATTCACATACACGTATCTAAATGTCACTGACCACACAGGTAAGACTTGTGCTCCTTGTTGTCAACTCTGTTAAATTGCATTTCACTGCACTTATTACATGTTTAATGCATCTTAAAAGAGCCCACCTAAAACCATTTTTATTGACACAAATGCAAATCCAGATTTGAAATCAAAGCTTGCAATTGCCTGTCAGGAAGGAGTGAGAATTAACACCAAGTTGAAAACAATAATCACCCATCTCATTATTTTTCTTCAGTGCTTTTCCAGTTCTGATTTAAAGAGTCTTTTTTTCTTGTTGTACACTGTACATTCAAGTACCTAATTATTTAAATAAATCAAGCTGTCCTGAACCTGGAGCAATGCAAACAATACACCTACCTTAAACATAAAGATACTGAACAATAGGGGTCTTAAAGAACGTTTCATGTTCACTGTTCGCTAGACGAAATAAGCAAGGTGTGGCACTTTACAACTTTTAATAAGTCTTACTACTCATTTGAAAAATATTTTTTAGGGGTAGTCCATTTTTGGGAAGTAGTAGGGGTAGTCGATGGACTAAGTTAGGTACATGTATCTTGTTTGCAATGTTCCAGGCTTAAGGCTCAGGACAGTGTTTTGTCCATCACCAAAAGCAGTGGTCTGTAAAAAGTAATGTTGAAAAGGGGTATAAGGTCCAGTGTCCATGACTCTGCTTCAGCTTCCTAAGTTTGACAACCTTCCTTGATCTATAAGATGCAACAATTACATCTTACAGGTCAACAATTAGTGTTAGATACATACAGGTTGTACACAGTCTGTTTACCAGGGTATAAAGTTGTTTGTTCAATCATCCAGGGATAATATTGCCTTTTCTGTGCTCCTTCCTGTAAAAAACCTCCTGTGCTATGAGCTGCTGCTGATGTTAACTCTTCCTTCCCTCTCTGTGGCAATTCAATTTGCCCCTGATGGTTCGCATTTAAGAGTAAAGCATGCGAGGCATCTCCCTTTCCAGTTAAATGCCTTTGACCAGCAGTTGAAGATATATGTGACAGCTCTTGAAGTCTTTGTGTAGCTGCTAAACTTGAACCTGGATAAAAAAATCAGATCATTAAGTTCACACAGAAATTTGTCAAAGTGGCTAGACTCATAGGCCTTTGACCTAAAACATATACATGTACACCAATAAGATGGGTGCTGCTAAGAACCACTCAAATTGCTGCTTGAAAGGGTAAGTCATGCACATGTGTGTGAAGATTTCAACCCAATTTTAGAACAGCAATCTTTGTTTTTGTAAAATGTGACTTGGAACATTCCTGTGTAAGACATTCCTGTGTAACCATTCTTTGCGTTCCTGATGTAAGATTCCTGTGCAGGGGCAGCTAAGATAGATAGGTAGATAGATGTGGTTCAGGCAACTTGCAGGTTAATCAATTTTGGCTATGAAATTGGCAGATACAAAACCGATGATGAACTGAGGACCATTGCCAGCGTTTGGTGCAACTGATTTTGGAAATGAGTTTCAACCACGCTATACAGATTCACGACAACTTATCTATTTTAATTTTTTAAGGGGACTGGTATGTAGCCCTTGGAGACTTGAGTATTTGGAGCTATTTGTGACAGGCTGTTTTTAGCATTTTATTTTGTTAGTGTCCGAGCCCTCAGTTAACACAACTCATTTGTGTTTAAGGTGGCTCCCTATAGTTTTGCCATTGTGCACACACTGAGGACAAAAGTTTAAGTAATCTGCACGGGCTCAAAGGAAAGTGTCAACATTTTTCGATATTTTATGACGTCAACATGAGCACAAAAAGCAAAACTGACAGTGAATTTTCTTTCCTTTCCATCTGTGAAATTCCGTAAAATTTGGCACACGGGTAATAAGTACTTTACTTTAGTTGAAGGGTTTCGCGCAAAAAAGGCATATATCGCTTTTTGAGCCAATTTTCATTTTTTGCAGGATCGAGCTAATTTTTGGTAGACTGACTTGTTTTGACATTAAAAGCATTGTTCTTTAATTGTTTTTGTTGATTTCAATTTGTTTTTGAGAAATAACGTACATGCAAAAAACTCTGTTAGTTTTCCAAGGCATCTTTTGGAGATCTTTTGTTGAACAAAAAACAAAAGAAACCTTCTGTTTCGCTAAATGATGAATTCACCAAAGTGTGGCATTTGCCACTAGTTGTTTGAACCAATACAAGTTTTATTATTCATATAATTACGCTAATCTCTTACTGTTGCTTCGTACATGTAAGTGTAAGCGAATAAGGCGCTGAAAGGGCCGGATTCGAGTTTGTTTTGTTGTGACACCTTTTCAATACAAGAAAACAATTACACAGCTATGCTTTTCATCTCAAAACAAGTCAGTCTGCCGAAAATTTGCTTGATCCTGGAAAAAATGAAAATCTGACCAAAAAGTGATACATGCCCTTTTTGCACAAAATCCTTCAGTTGGAGCTTGTTTTACAGGGAAATCTATCTGACCAGATTTTCCCCAACACTAAAAGACATAAATTTGCAAAAACTTAAAAGAACCAGCTGTCCAAACTCCACTTTTTTCATGTTTAAAATTCGTATCACACAGAATTGAATGTACTGTAACATTTCTGGAAGATTTCACCAAAGGAAAATAAAAAAAATCACAAATAAAGCCATAAAAAAACCAGTAGATAACACATTTGCCTGGACATTTATAATTCAAGATTAAAAGCCAAGATTTTAATAGGGATGATAGTAAATCAATATATAATCATAAGATTGTTTATTACATTTAATAAGTTTGAGAGGATGGTGTTAAAATGGATGCAAAAACAGCTTTCAAAACATAACACTAGCGTGTGGAACACCATAAATTATTACCATATTGAGCCACTTTAAATCAAATTTGACAACAAATAACATGCTTAAACGTTGAAGTGATGGTTTAAGTCATGTAGAAAAATCTAAAGATGACAATGACTGGATTAAAAACTAACCTCTAACGCACATTTCCTGTGAATATCCAAACAGGTACATGTACATACCTCACAAAATTTTAAAATTGTTAAGTCTATGATCAATATCTCACTGTATATTATAAATTATCGCCCTGGGTCAGATCAGGCCAGATCAAATTGCATTCATTATGCTACTGGAGGTGTAGTTAACACTTGCATTCTGTTTGACGGCGTTTAATTTGGTGCTATTGATTTTGGAAATATGAGTTTCAACCATGCTGTACAGATTCAAGACACCTTATTTATTTATTTATTTATTTATTTATTTTTTAAAGGGAATGGGACATAGACCTTCGAGACTCAAGCACTTGAAACTATTTGTGACAGGATGTTTTTTGTACTTTATTTTGTTAGTGTCTGAGCCCTCCGTTCACGCAACCCACTTGCATTTAATCAAATTTGACAACAAATAACAGGCTTAAAACATTGACGTGATGGGTTTCAGTCGTGCAGAAAAATCTAAAGACGACAATAACAAGTGGATTACTAACGTATAAAGCACATTTTCCACAAATATGCAACAGGTAACAGGGTGAAGTGAAATTCAAAAATTCTGCTTGCCCTTCGGCTAAGCTGTAATTTCATCTTACTAGCCCAAATCTCTGAGGAGCTTAGCCTGAAATTATTTTATTAATAAGGATAATTTAATCAATTTAATATGCAAAAATAATGTTGGAATAAAAACGTTCTCTGGTTAAAAATATATTAAAAACATAAGCTTTCGGCTATCAGTCTATAGCCTTTAACAAATGAAAAATGTGGCGCGCAAGCGAAAATATATACGAATGGGGTGCAAAAAATTGAGAATAGAAACAAGCATGAACAAAGTGTGAAAAAAGCAAGAAGATAAAAATGTAAATGAGGCCTGATTACAATAAAATAGAGTATTGCCTAGGCAACGGTTTTGAGTTGTTATCCGTGTCGACGGTTTTTGCTGTGTGCCAAGATTCTAGTGTTTTTCGAACGCGGTAATTGCCTTTGTCA